GTAACATCTGGTTTTTGCATATTTTATTTTTAAGTACTAAGGATGCTAACCCAATGCTGTGCTTTCTTGTATCTACTATTTTGTCACCTGTTGTCGTGTTTTACATTTTTGATATGTTAAGCCTTAATGTTATTGTAGTGTCATAATCCTTCATGCTGTGGGCTGGTTGCTTGGGGAGGGCTGGAGGTGGCAGGTAGGCAGCTTGAGGGCTCTACACATAGTGATGTGTCAGGAGAAAGCACAGCCAGCCTGCCAAATGTGGTGACCTCAGAGCAGATAACCAGGCATGGCTGGTAAGCTGGGGTGTGCACCGTCGGCATCAGAGGTCTGCTGTTAGTATGTTAAGTATACACATGTGATGACGTCTGTCTGTCACATATTGGTTGATAGATGGAAGTCACCTGCGTGTGAGCGAGGAAGTGCGTGATAGGGTCACCTCAGAGTTGGAGCAGCCTGGGACCTAGCCCCGCCCTATTCGGTGTTGACCCTGGGCAAATCACGTCATCTCTTGATGCTCGTTGCTAAGAGTGTAAGTTTGTAGACAACGTGCCAATTTGCATTGTTAGAATGTTTCTTTCCCTGAATTCTCTGTACACCAAGTTAATCACAGGATGGACCAAAAAAAGACTCTTGTGTTTGAATACTTGCTTTTATGTGTTGTGGCTAGAGGGCCAGGGTTCTCCCAGTGAAGAACCTCCTCCGCCAGTGCAGGTCAGCACCTTCCCTGTGGTTTAGAGTCATAAAAGAGTACCCTAGGCCACCAAGAAATTAAATGACTTGCCTAGGGTCATGAATCAAAGGGAAGATTTCAGCCTGGGCCTTCCTCTGGGCCCCCTCTCTAAGCCACACTGCCTCTGATATATGTCTATTTGTATATATGTTTATATAGATTATATGTCTATTATAAGTAATGTGTCATAGAATATTACAATGTATGTGTAGATATGTGTGTGCGTGTATGTGTTTCTCTTTTTCTCTGTGTCTGCATTTAGTTAGGGAGAGGAGACTGGACCTATGATGTGCTTGGTATAAGGAGCTCCCAGTGAGGAAACTCCCTCTAGCAATAGTGACTTGCCCAGGGTCACATGAAGGCTGACTTGAACTTGAGACTTTATATACATATACATATATGTGTGTGTATGTGTGTATATGTGTATATATATATATAGGTATACACGTATATATACGTTATATACACACACTTATATATACACACATACATGTATATATGTATGTGTGTATGTATATATACGCATGTGTATATGTATATATGTGTGTGTATATGTATATGTATATATGTACATAGTCCTGACTCTCTGTATGTTTATTCTGTAACTGTGATTTCATGTATGTAAAAATAAAATTCCACCAAAACCAGGGTGTCATGCTTGCTTAGCTGAGAAAAGGCGGTTGAGATTTTTGTCAGCTACTAAAAATGAATCTGTGTAGTGTTGGTGCCTACTCCTGGTTCCATTGGGATCCTGACTAAGGCCCAGAGAGGGATGTGTGGAAGCCATGCTTAGAGCCAGTCCAAGGGACTCTCTGAATACCATCATCTTTCAGGCCATAAATTATCTCAGTTCTGTGTTATTACTCTGCCTATTACTAACTTTGTTAGTTTTAGACTCATCTGATTTCCCCAGAATCAGGACTCCAAGCTTGCCCTGTTTCATGCCTTGTTCTTCCTTGCTGCAATCAGACTCCTGTAGACAAACACTTTATTTGCCTCATGACCAAAGAGCTACTCCCAGGCTTGATGAGCTCTGGCCTCAGCTGGCTCTTGTAAATTGTGTGACTTAACAAATCCTCGCAGCTTGGGATTAGCCATATAGGCCTTAGTGTTCCACTTCTGAGCGTGACAAATCTATGGAGGAATCTTCTGTCAATTAAATTGCTGTTTTTTTTTCCCCCAGAAAGTAGAGAATTGATTATAGGATATTGAAAAATATGAAGATTTTGTCAAGTTTACTTTCTGTGAAAAGTGGAGGCTGTGAATAACCGCAGTAAGTATATGGACTTCGAGAACAATAACATATTAATAAAACACCTGAAGGTTTATGAAGCACTTGGCACATTTTTCCTTTGACCTTTCTGACAACCTCTGAGCATGTCATCATCTCCTTTTAACCAATGCAGAAATGGTCTCAGAAAAATACCAAGTGTGAAACATTTAGTCACTGTCAGAGGTAAGCTTTGAACCCATTTTCTTGATTCCAAGACTTTTCACTTTATGCCACATGGTCTCAAATTAAAATCAGTAGATTTTTTTTATTGCAGAGTATCACCCTGGTATCAGAAATGTTAGGACATAAATGTCTTGAGCAAACTTCAGGGATTTTTTTTTTTGCTTCTTTTAGCTAATAATCTCACTCCCCTTGTTCTAGTATATTTAGATTCCTTCTGTTGGAAACACTTATTTAAAAGAACAAAACAGAAACTTTTCAGCAGATACCTATTAGTCTCAAAGATATATGTAAAATCCTAGTCATTTATGGGCCCCACATGAGGGCTCCTTTGATATGAGGACTTTCTTGGGTAGAGGCTTTCCCTCCTATAAATTTGATCATGATAGACACATAATTAAAGTTGATCCTAATTCATTGGAAAGAAAGATGGCTGGATTTGGAATCGGAGAACTGGGTTTCAATTCTAGCTTTGCTCCCCCTGGTGGCTTTGGACAAGTCACTGAAACCTCTCTGGGTCTCAGTTTCCTCATCTATAAATAAGGAGGTTGGACTAGATGACCTCTTAAGTCCCTTCCAGCCCTCGTCCCGTTATCCCATGATCTTCAAGCACTGTTCTCTTCTGTAGGGGAGAGGGTGGCTTTCCCCAACTCTGTTCTTTGTGACTTTACATGTTTCATTGTCCACACATTTGTTTTGACAAGTCAAGAAAGGGTGTCAGGGTTTCTGTAATTCTTCAGTGCCATCTGAAGACAAAACCTCAAATATTCCTCCTGTCTCTTAAGAGTTACCTAGGACACTTGAGAGTTGACTTGAACTAGAGACTTCCTGTCTGTATGTGGTCCACACTGTATTATATTTAGTCTAGACCTGGGCTTTCATGATTGTCAAAATTCCTCCAAGCCCAAGGTGTCATGCTCAGCTATTCTTCCTGCTTAACATTTTTTTTTCTTCCTACAGTTTCCTTTGATAACTAGTCCTACTTATTACTATGGGTTCCTTGAGTGGACGCTATTCTCTCTGGATACTTGAATGGGAAAGGGAGATGCTATTCTACACCACATAAGCATAATTGTGCCAACCATGTAGTGTCTGAGTAAAGCCAGAATTTCAGAGATGGAGGAAAAGCAATCTTCTCTGTGGTGAAGCCTACATTGGGAGCTTAATGATCATAGAACCATGGAGCTTTTCCATCTGGAGGTCAGATCTGATGAAATTGCATAATTATCTCAAATCAACAAGCATTTATGAAGAGTCACTATAGGCCAGGCACTTGTGAAAGAAGGCTGTTGGCAGCCTGGTCTTTCCAATTTTTGCAGAGATCCTGGGGGAGTTTCCTTAACTTCGTCATGCATGCGTCTGTCATCGCCATGGATACGAGGCCACAGGAAGTAGATAAGAGAATTGCCTTTGAGAAAGTTGAAGTTTAAGTCTGTCATCCCTGGTTTCTGGTTTGTCAGTCTCAATAATGGCCCCCATTTGGAAGATAGTAGGCCTCAGGTTAGCCCAGAGAAAAAACAGAATGATGATAAAGGGAGTATCTTTCATTTTGGGTTCCAGAGAGCAAGAGAGAAAAAACTTAACTTGTAAGCTGGACTTGCATCTCTTAAACAGCGGGGTAGAGAGAGGTAGCTGTTGCCTAGACACAGCCATTTTTTGGATGGATGTACCCTTTCTCAAAACAGAACCCCCAGTGTTTGCTGTTATTTAGAGTAATTTTTATATTAGTGCCATGAATGATTCACAAGCCTTGTAATCCCATTAGTTATTTGGGAATTTCCCCAGAAAATTGTCCTTGTAGCATTTTTAAAGTTTTTCTGAGTGACGAACAACCCAACTGAATTCTAGTATGGTCACAGCAGGCCCCTAGAACTTGGAGGAAGAATAGAGTGGGGAAAGGCAGAAAACATTTTAAACTCTGTGCAGAGAAAATGTTCACCCGGATTAAAGATTTAGATCTACAAAAACCTTGGAGGTTATCTAGGCCAACCTCTGCACTTTACTGGTGAAAATTCTAAGGCCTACTTAGATCTAAGTGACTCAGGAAGGTTACCCAGGTAGGGTCAGAGGTGAGAGTTGAACTTAGCTTCTCTGACTCTAAATCCAGGACTTATTCCATTTTACCACCAAGGAATACTATAGCAGAAATGGATCTCACTCCAAAGTTTCCTTTGATTCTTATCAAATAAAAAAAAAATTATTCAAAAACGAAAGCCAAGTGAATTTCCAAAGAAACGTTTCTTGTGCATAATTTCTTTTAAATTTTATTGCATCACATTATTGAAGCATTAAACATGGCTTTATGTGGATGACTGTTTAAATGTGAAAATTCAACATTCTTTGTACCTTTTGGCTATTTACAAATAAGGAATTTCTCTCTATGTACTTTATATATATTTATAATATATAACTGTAATTGTATGTACATATGTAGGGATAGGTGACTATACATATGTACATACACACATACATCTGTGGCCATACACTGATGGCTGTAGAGATGTCATTTGTAATCACTCCTCAGAAAGAGCTGAAATTTTTAGAAAAAAAAAAACAAGATTAAATTTGTAAACAGGGTCTTGGTTGTGTTTGGTGACATAGGTGTAGGACAATGCTAGGAATGTTATGCCTAAGTATCCAGATTTTAATACACTCTTTTTTGTTAGTCTCTGTAAAATTCACATGGGACATATTTCAAAAAAAGTAGGAAACAGACTGGAAAACAGTCCCTGTATACAATTTTCCCTTGATTTTTTTAAATTCACATATATAACTGCCTATGGAGTACATGCTTGCTTTGTCAAGAAAATGGTCTATGGATAGCAGTCATATGCTGGATCGCAAAATGATTTCACAGTAAATCCTCTGCAACGTGCCAACCAACTTGCTACTGAAAATGTCTGTGACATGCACTGAAGTTGCATTTGTTTTATTCTCTTAAAGTAGAGCTCTTCCACAGTTGGAATAAGTAAACAGAAGACTGATCCTTTGCATTCAAATGAACAGTTAGTTACCTGGGTGGGGAGGGAGGAAGGGGGAAAGAAAACAGGGAATTAAAATCACTCGCATATACTGTATATTAAAAGCACAGGAGTTTGTAGTGACTATTCATCTGTGACATTTAAATAATCTGTAAACTAAAACTGGAACAGGAGGAGGGAAATACCTAATCATGCCTGTTTGCAGTGGGTCCAACTGAGGCAGAAGGGAGTTTGAAGAACACAGTGCAAGGCAAACAGAAGCCACAGGATGAAGTCCTGCCAAGTGTGGAGAGTTGAGGCGGAGCAGCACCAAGAATGGCTGTGTCTTCAGACCAGGCTTGTGGTGGCCGGAGCTTGCAGGAAGATGGCAGCGTGCCAGGGAGAGAACAGAGGCCCGGCTGCTGTGGCAGGGAATGTTCATTAGATGTCTCTTGTAAACAGAGCACTGGGTGAGAGAGAACCTTTAGTAGGATACTTTGCCTTCGGGGAGCTTATAGTCTAGTAGGGAGATACCAGCACATAGAGCTAAATATTAAGTGACAAGTCCAGGGGAAAGTTGGGAACATTGTGTGAAGGAAGCGTGTGTTAAACAAGTAGGAGGGGCTCATCAGGTGAAGATGGGGGGAGGGGGCAGTGGGAAGATGCTGAGAAAAGAGCTGAGGGAATACAGTGTGCACCCTGTTTGTCTGCAACATAAAGTTCTTGGGGTAGAGTAATAAGAAATAAGGCAGGAAAAGTTGACTGGAATCAAGTGATGGAGAGAAGGCCTTGAATGCCAGAGGAATGTTGTAACTAGACCTAAGAAAGGTTCTTGGGCAGTGATAGGAAGGATTGAAAGAGTAAATGTGGAAAACCAGGTCATCGTGTGGCATTGAGAAATGGAAAAGAAGGAACTGACAACAAAGAGGCTGGGGAGAGAATGAGCCCCGAGATGTAAACATAGAAGACTGGGGGAAAGGTAATGAGCTCCCTGTTGGACATCCTGGTAGAAGTGTCCTCCTGCAGCCAGGTCAGGGTGTAGCTCTGAAGCTCGGGATTGAAGGGACCTGAGAGGTCATCAGAGCCGACCCTCTCTGTTTTACAGATAAGGAAGCTGAGGCACAGAGAGGCAATACACGCAGCTAGTGAGTATACAAGGCAAGATTCAAATTCGGGTCTGCCTGACCCTAAGGCCGGTGCTGTCTACACCATTCCATGCTGATGTCTTATCAGAGAGGATCAGCCATGAATATGCAGGCTAATCAAGCCAAATCCTGAAAATAGTGATGGGCCAAGGGAATGAATGGAGGTCACGCTTGATAAGGGCAAAAGAGGAGCAAGAACATGGAAGAATCTGGAGAATTGGGGTGTGTGGCCAGAACAGAATTTTGGAATAGATATTGGATCATTTCAAGCGGTGGAAATGAATGCCATTGCTAAGAAGAGAACATGGAGAGAGAAGAGATGAGAACAAGGGAGAGACCCCTGGGCAGTGTCTGCATGGTAAGGATTTAAGAGAGAGGATGTCCTGTCAGTACTTCGGATTCAGCGTGTCCAGAGTGAAGCTTATTACCTTTCCCAAAACACCTGCTGCTCTTCCTGACTTCCTCTTTCTGCAGGGCCTCTGTCCCCCAAGTCTTGCATTTTTACAACTTTGGGTTCATCTTTTTCTCTTCCCCCTTTTCTCACCTCTCATCATCTGTGTTCCTCAGTATCCTCATCCAAACAACGAGGGAGATGAATTTGATGCTTGTCTGCAACGTCTGAAGCCAAGGGAAGACACGGTAGCGAGAGAGAGCACAAGGAAGATGATTTAAAAGAAAAAGGATGATTGAAGGTTGTAATAGAGTGCTGCAGACAGAATCCCTTGTGCAAAGAAGGGATTGAGGAGCAGTCGGTAGTTAGGAAGAGGGGGGATAGGAGCTGGATCAGAAGGTTAAGATGAGGCTTTTCAAGTCTTGGGCACTCAGAGCCTTTTGTGTTTAGATGGGGAAAAGAACTGTTGCTGGAGCAAAGCCCCTGAGAAGGAGAGAAGCTCCGATCTTGGGCACAGACAGAAGTCAGTCTTAGTGCTGGTTTTCCTGTGGTTCCAACATTCTGGTGAAGCCCACTGCAGCCAAAGGAAGGTGGGTGTGTGTTTTTCTTCTAGTGCCCTAGTGCCTGCAGTTAACAGATTTTTCTGTTTGAGGGAGAGAGAAGACACAAGTCTGCTGGTCCTATGCAGGCTCTCCTGGCAGAGGGAGAAAAGGGCCTCGGCACTCCAGGCTTCCTCCTCAAGAGAAGAGGGTAGTTTAGTGGTAAGAAAGAGCAGCAGCCCTTCACACTGTCTGCAGCAGAGGCTGCGAGCAGCCTTTCCCTGCCTCTTTGCAGGCTGTTACCCACAGCCTTCCAGCCATCGCCTCTCTGTCCTGCTCTAGGCGATTCATCACAGTCACAGCGTGAGGACCCCGTGTCTTCTCACTTACCCAGTCAAGGCCACTCGTTATGGTGAGCTTTCCCATTCTTCTTCCTCTCCTTGCGTTCCTTCTGCAGTCGCTCCAGCTCAGCCTCATACATCATCTCCTGAATTAGGTACTTTTCTCTCCTCATTCGATCTCTTAAGTCTTTTGGAAGGTCCGGGATTAGGTAGGAGATCAGATGCTTAATGCAGAATACAAGATGCTAGAACATGATAAGACAAAACGGATTCAGTTCTGGGCTATGTTCTTTCACTCATTTCTAGAGGGGTACTGAGAGGGGAGACTGGCTTTGGGACTCTCCCAGCAATTCTGATTTAGTCTGGACAGCCGTGAGGCAGCAGCAGGGATACGTTGGCTCTGGCCTCAAAGGACCTGGGTTCACATCCTGCCTGACACTCGCTACCTGTCACTGAACCTCCCTGGGCCTCAGTTTCCACATATGTAAAGCGAGAGGGTTGATTAGAGAGCCTCTGAGTGGGCACCCAGTTAGGCTGCACTCGATTTATAATCGTATGATCCTAGTCAGCTACTTTGGCAGCTCAGTAAAGACCGTCTGGCCAAAAGTGACTCTGCTATTGACTTTTTTGGTGCTATTTTTCTTCTGCCAAACTTGAAATCGAAGCCATTTCTTTGGGGGGAGGTATTGTCTCCAGAAGGCCACTACAAAAATTAGCATGTTACCTGGGAGAGGTCAATGGGCTGCAGATGTCTTTTTTTCCTTTTTTTCCCTTTAGCTTAGTTGGTCAGATGTGGCCTGGGAAGGCACAGAGTTGAGGCCAAAGGAGACAGATACTGCAGGGCTACATTTTAGAGTCCAATAGTGACCCACCCTAGTGGTGGGGTGGGAGGCCACTGGTCCAGGAAGGTGGCCAGTCAATGGAAGTGGAGGTGAGAAAAGGATGGAAAACTCGTTTTATAATTTACATTGGATCCTAGCAGGATGGAAGTTCAGAGTTGGGAAGCGACCTTTGAAGTTTTGGAGTCCAACGAACTCATTTTACAGCTGATGATACTTTGGCCAAAGGTCACAGAGAGACCAGGTTTTTTGATTCCTAATCCGGGGCTATTCCCATTGAGATGTAAATCATACCTCAGTGCCTCTCTTGCACCTTCTGTTTATAGTGACTGTATCTTAAAAGAACAAAGTTGTTGGTGTGGTTTTTCCCCCATTCGAACGTGAACTCCTTGTGGGCAGGGACCAGTCCACAGTGCTGAGCATCGTGGCTGACTTATATAGTTAGTGATTAATAAATGCTTGTTGACTGACTAAAGCCCTGAAGAAGAGTAAAGGATAACATCATATCAAGTGATTGGAAGAGAGGAAGAGAAGATGGGCTGTTGCCAGTCAAAGCAAGGGAGGATGTTGTGGTTTGTTTTGCAGTTGTTGTAGTCGTGACCTCATTTGGGGTTTTCTTGGCACAGACTGGAATGGTTTGCCATTTCCTTGTCCAGCTCATTTTACAGATGAGGAAACTGAGGCAAACGGGGTGAAGTGACTTGCCCAGGATCACACAGCTAGTAAGGGTCTGAGGCTGGATTTGAACTCAGGAAGATGAGTCTTCTTGACTCTAGGCCTGGTGCTCTATGCACTATGGCACCACCTAGCTGCCCCTGTTAAAGGATGCTTATTGTTACTATTGCATAAGACAAGGCTGAATGTCTGGCCCACAAGACAACCCCTTAGAGTCAAGATCCTGGTTTGTGGTTGTAAAAATAGAACATGCCTTTGAAAATCTTTACCACTGGCTTTGGCAAAATCTGAAATGCCACAAGATGGTGCTGCTCCTTTACAAAAAAAATCTCTGAATTGTCTCCTTATGGGGGGGTATGTATCTTTTTTCATCTTTCACAGGGTTGTGGTGAAGCTCAAATGAGTACAAGAAGATGCTTTGCAAACTTACAAAAGCACTTCTGTATATGAGTGAGTCAATTATAATTTTTGTTTCTTTGTATGTCTCTCATATGCATATGTACACACAGACAATGAATGTTCACACAAACATTTGGAGGGGTAGGGAGGCTAATTAATGGAATAGTTTATATAATTCTTTCTCTCAAAACATAATTTTTTTTTTCTATTAGTTGCCCTTAAAATCCAAAAGGGCAGCTAGGTGGCACAGTGGGAGATGGAGCATGAGACCTGGAGTTTGGAAGACTCCTTTTCCCGAGTTCAAATGTGGCCTCAGGCACAATGGCTGTATGACCCTGGGCAAGTCACTTAACCTTGTTTGCCTCAGTTTCCTCATCTGTAAAATGAGCTGGAGAAGGAAATGGCAAAGCACTCCAGCATCTCTAAGAAAGCCCCAAATGAGGTCATGGAGAGTCGCACGCGACTGAGCAACGACAAATGTACGAAAGGGAAAGGGAGGGAACAAGCATTTGTTAAGTTTCTACGAGGTGGCTGGCTATCTGCCGCTTTACAGATATTATCCATTTGATCCAACACCCCAGTGAGAGGTGATTTTATTACCTCCACTTTATTATTAAAGAAACTGAGGCAAACAGAGGTCAGTGCCTTGCCCAGGGTTGCCCAGCTAGTAAGAGTGTGACACCAGATTTGAACTGAGGTCTTGACTCCTGGCCTGTCGGTGCAGTAAGTATCTGCTGCCTCAGAACCAAAGCTTACTCAATCCTGTTCAGTTCAGTCATGACTGACTCTTTCTGAATCTTTTTGAACCAGTTTTTTTTTTTTTTTGAACCAGTTTTGAACTCAGGAAAATGAGTCTTCCTAACTCCAGACCCTGTACTTTATGCACTGTGCCACCTAGATGCCCTGTAATAGAATACATAAATGCAAACTCTTGGCAATATACAGGTATACACAGATTTTTCATTGTCATAAATTGCTCTCTCCCTTCTATATTGAGGATTTCTAGCGTACACTGTCGTCAATCAACTTGCTTTTTGTAGGAGTGTTCTATGGAGAGTCATAGTTTTTGTTCAACAATTCTTTGGGCAAACTATACCATCAGAGCCAATGACCCTCTGAAACCAGGGGCCATTGGCTTGTATTCATGCGTGACATGGTCTGTTCAAATAGTGATAGTCTATCCTGTTGCGCCCTGTTTGTTATGCTACCTCTTTGGTTAAGAGTTGTGCTCGGTTTCATTCTCTTTAAGTGAATGGGCACTAACAGCTTAGATCAGTGGACTGACAATCATTGACTGCCTTTCTTGATAGATGAATGACTGCCTTTCTCCTCAACCCTAACAGCAGATAATTGTTCTTCCCTAATAGAAAATTGCTAGGTAGACAGTCTTTCTCAACAGCTCCAGTCAAAGGATAGTATTTACTTGTGAAATGATATAGGCCCGAAGCCTTAAATATGGAAATCCCAGACACAACTGCTACTTGTTTCTACGGTGTTAAATTAATGATCTGACTTACTGGTTAACAATAAAGGTTTTCTAGATTTAGGGGACATGTAAATGAAGAAGGAAGGGAAATGCTTCAGATCACTAATTAGACAATTGACCAGTAAAATGGTCATGTCCCAAAGCTCCCATTTGTTCTTGCATTGATTAAGAATCCTTCCAGGTTCCAAATGAGTTAAAACTTCAAAGGAAATAAGGGACTAAGTTACAGAAACTGACCTCAAAGACTATAATGAAAGCCAGACGTGCGGCCAGAACATGCCAGAACTGCAGTGTGTAGCCATAGGGGACCAGCGAGTGAGGAGGGTCTCGATAATCTCGGTATCTACAAAAAAAAGCAGAGCACATTATCTTCCAGTGTGGAATTGATTCTGGGACGGGTCCATTCTTTCTCCCACCCCACAAGGGTCATAGAGATGGACCAAGCCACTTATCCTGTCGCCTGGCCATTTCCAGGGCCAGATCTAGACCAGGGCACCATCTAATCCAACCCCCCTCGTTTACTGATTAGAAAATGGAGACTTAGAGAGGTGTAAAGTCACACTCAAGGTCACACAGGTGGATTTGAAGCTAGGTCCTCCAGTTCCCAAGTCAGCATTCTTCCTGCTGTACCACACGTCCATGGAGGGGGGGGTTCCTAGTACTCTTGGTGCAGTTGCATCAAGACTTCTGGGACATGCTGTATAATTCCTCCTCTCTCATAGCAGCTGGTATTCCTGTAGTGCTTTCAAATTTGCAAAACACTTGACATAGGTGATCTTATTGAATCTTTATTTTACAGTTGGGGAAACTGAAGCTGAAAGGTCCCAACCAACTTGAAACTTAAATGAAAGTGCCAGATAACCAACTTACAAAGGAGCTTTTGGAATACAACCGATTGTGAGATAATGACTTTATAGAATAGGTTAAATTACAACTTTGGAGAGGTTATTGGAGTTGGAAGGGACCCTGGAGGCCATTTATACCATATCTTCATTTTTTAAATGAGGAAATTGAGTCTCAGGGAGGCTAAGGCTTAGAGAAGTGACTTGTCCAAGGTCACATAGTTAATTATGGCAGACTAAGAACTAGTTTTTTTTAAATTAGTTTTTATTAATTAATTTATTTTGATTTATCAACAATCATTTCCATAAGCTTTTGAGTTTTAAATTTTTCTCTCCTGCCCTCACCACCCCTCTCCCCAAGACAGTGTGCAATCTGATATAGGCTATACATATACATTCCTATTAAACATATTTTTACATTAGTCATGTTGTAAGGTAGAATTAGAACCAATAGAAGGAACCACAAGAAAGAGGAAACAAAACAAAATAGAAGAAAAAAAAAGCAAATAGTGTGCTTCCATCTGCATTCAAACTCCATAGTTCTTTCTTTGGGTGTGGATAGCATTTTCCACAAGAATTAGTTTTTTAATTTTACTATATCAAGTCTCTCTTCCTGTCCCCTAGTATAGAGCATTATTAACAGTCAGTGAAACAGATTTTCTGGTCAATCGAAAGACCTTCTTATCCCAATATATAAAAAAAACTTTTGCCAATTAGTAATGAAATTAACCCAAATGTAATTAAATAATAATTAAATTAGCAGCAGCCAGATTTAATTCATTTAAAAAAGAGACAAAAGAAACTACAGTTATTTCCATTTCAGGGGCCAAGATTGAAAATTAAAGCCATTCTTTTTAAATATATCCTTTTGTCCAACCTCCTTATTTTACAGATGAGGAAACTGAGGCCTAGAGAAGTTAGGTGACTTGCCTAAGGTCACATAGATGATAGGCATGACTCCAGGGTCATATATTTCTCGACTGATTTCATAGCTGCCCTTGCCATTGGCAGATCTAGGTTCCAGCCCTACTTCTGACACACAGAATCCTAGATCTGGAGCTTGAAGAGGTCCCAGAGTTCATCTAGTCGAACACTTTCATCTTACAGCTTCCTGTGGGTCAGAGAAGTCCAGCGACACAAATGTAGTGTTCGTTCCCCTTCACTAATTATGAGTCAACAACATTAAATGGAAAGAAATATTTCACAGTGTGGGTACTCAAACTGGGGTTCTATATTTCAGCTCCCAAATTACGAAACCCCTTTTCCACTAAAAAAGAAAAATATTAAGGAATATGGCATAATGAACAGAGCACTTGGAGAGGGAATCTGAAGAATTCAGCTTGGGTTCTGTTGCTAGCTTTGTGGCTGTGGGTAAAGTATGGGGCTCTCCACCATGGTCCTAGAGTCAAAGGATCATGGATGTGTAAGGGTCCTTAGAGATCCTCTCAAGCCTCATTCTCATTGGATGGATGTGGCACCTGAGGCCCAGAGCTTATTGATTAAGACCCAGTGAGACTAGTAACCTCCCAAAGTGACTTAGCTAGAGTCAGGATTTGAAACTAGGTCTTCTGACTCCAAATTTAGTATTCTTTCTGTTATGTTATCATACTATTCAACTAGCTTGGTTAGATTTTCATTTTGGGGGACATATATGTCTCTATATATAACAATATATTTATATTATGAAGTCATCACAGACTTCCAGCATATAGAATTGCACCCTCTCTCCTTCACTCCATCTCAAGGGGTCAGCACACCAGAAGGACATAGAGAATACCCACCAAGGGGAGAACCTAGGTTACTGATGCAGCTATAGCTATCCTAGAGTAGAGGTGTCAAATACGTGGCCCTAACCAGACTAAAATATAATTGGGAAATGTTTAGCAAAATAAAAGGGATAAACAAGACAGCTATATTATGTTGAAAAGAGGCCACTGACAAAAACCCAATATCAGTATAAACTTATATGCTCCAAATGCCTCAGCATCCGAATTCATAAAGGAAACATCTGAGCTACAAGAAGACATAGTAACACTATAGTGATAGATGTCAATATCCCTCTCTCAGTTTTAGATAAGTCCTTACAAAGATAAATGAAAGGGAAAATATGGAACTGAAAAAACTAGAATTAAAGGATTTATGGTGTCTTCTAAGTAGGACAGTAAAAGAAAATTCACATTTCTGGGAACCATATAGAACTTTTGCAAAAATTGACCATGTGCTAGGGCCCAGAGATGTTGTAAACCAATGTAAAAAGGCAGAAATAGTTGAACATGTATGTCCTTTACAGACTACAATACAATAAAAATAACTGTTTCAGGGATCACAAATAAAAAGACTTAACAATGAAATATTAATGAGTGGGTCAAAGAACAAATTATAAAAACAATAACTATGTAAAATAAGATCATAGTAAAACACATAAAAATTTCAGGGATGCAGTTGAAGCAGTTCTCAGGGAACAGCCTTACAAAATACATTAACAAAACAGGAAAAAAAGAGAAAGCCAGCAACTGAGTGAACTTAAAATAAGAACAGAGGAGGAGATATTAAAAAGGAAATAAATTGGAAACAAAAAACCCATAGAAGTGATAAGACTAATAAAACTGATGAACCCATAGCTAATCTGATTTAATATAAGAGAGCAGAAAATCCATAGACAGTATCCATACTTCACAAATTATTCTTTTTTTTTCTTTTTAGGCAGTTGGGGTTGAGTGACTTGCCCAGGGTCACACAGCTAGTGTCACGTGTCTGAGGCTAGATTTGAACTCGGGTCCCCTGACTTCAGGGCTAGTGCTCTATCCACTGTGCCACCTAGCTGCCCCAAATTATTCTCAAAAATTAAGAAAGCACCCTACCAGAATTATTTCATGAAATAAGTATAATCCTAATACCTATAAACCAAGGAAAGATAAAACAAAACTTTAAATGAATATCATTAATGAACATTGACTGACTCAAAAAATTTAAATAAAATCCTGTCAAAGAGACTAGTGATTTCATTCAAGAAATCATCGATTATGACCAAGTGGAATTTATACCAGGGAGGCAAGGATGGTTCAGCATTAGGGAAACAATCAACAATAATCATATTAAAAACCACAACATCCCAAACCACACAGTCATCTCAATAGATGCATAAGAAACCTTTGAAAAAGCACAGTAGTATTTTATGCTAAAAGCTCTATGAAGCATAGGCTTATGGAGACTTTGTTAATATAAATAATACATATTTAAAAGTAAGCATCATATGCAATGAGGATTTACTAGAATCCTTCTCAATAAATAACAGAAATGAAGCAAGGATGCCCACTCTCCCTAATATTATTTGATATAGTTTTGGAAATGCAATAAGACAAGACATTCAAGACATAAAGATATGATAAAGGAGACGAAACCATCCTTGTTTGCTGATGGTCTGAGGGTCTACTTGGAAAATCCTAGAGAATTAGCAAAGACAATAATTAAGACAAATAGCTTCTGCATAGTTGCAGGCTACATGATAAATCCTCAAAAATTAGCAGCTTTTCTCTATAATTACAAAACACAAAAAGCGATAATAGGGACATCCCATTCCAAACAACTACAAAATGCATAAAATCTGGGGCTCGGCCTACTAGAGCACACAAAAGACATACAGATTAAACTAAGAAGTACAACTTAAAGAAATAAAGAACAGCAGGTAGAAGAATATCAGTTCTCATGCCAACATTATAAAAAGGAAAATAATACCAAAGTTAATTTACACTTTTAAAGCTATACCAAAGGGAATTATGGAATTGGATAAAATAACAAAACTCATTTGGAAAAACAAAAGAGATAGAATATCAAGGAAAATGATGAAAGGAAGTACAGATTAAGGAGGTACAGCACTTTTAGCCCCTCAAGTTGTAAAGCAGCAGTCATCAAAACTATCTGGTATTGGTTAAAAAATAGAGAGGTAGATCAATGGAACAGACTAGACAAGGGAAATTCAGGAGCAATAAAACTTAATAACTTAGTACGTATTAAAGTAGAAAACATAAATTACCTAGGGAAAAATTTACTTGATAAAAATTGCTGTGAAAAGTAGAAATCAGTCTGACAGAAATTGGCCTTAGACCATCATATTGCACTATATGCCATATACATTCCTATATACACATACATATATACCCATATGTATATTTTTCCCAAGTCTGAAAGTACAGTTCTGTTGTTTCTTTCTTGAACCTTTCCCCATGACAGCTAATAGTGGTCATTTATTCAGTGCTTTGAGGTTTGCATAGTAATTTACATAGATTATCTTATTTGATCCTAACAATAACCTTTTGAGATAAGTGCTGTTGTCAATTCCATTTTACAGATGAAGAAACCGAGGCGGATAGAAGTTCTTGCCCAGGGTCATACAGCTGGCAAGTATGTGAGGCATGATTAGAACTCATCTCTTCTTGATTCTCTTGCATTTTTTTGCATATATTTTATATTTGCATATATATTTATATTTGATTATCTGTGTATAAAAGACAGGGTAGTGTGATGTATAGAGATGTCCTTGGAGTCAGGAAGACCTAGGTTCAAGTCCTGCTTCTGACACATCCTAGCTATGTGACCTTGGGCACACTGTCCCATGCTGAGTACTTCTTGACCAACACAGGTCACAACCCCTTTATGTCTCAGTAGATGTTTTTTGGCTAAAAAAAAAAAAAAAAAAAAAAAAAAGGCATCTTCCCCGACTCTGGTCAACCTGGTGATTAGCTTCTCCAACCTTAGCTAGGTAGGCTGGGGCTTGGAGAAGACACCCAGGCCTTGATGCTCTTACTATTTGCAGAATAAATCTGCTTCTGAGTTTCTGGCAGAGGCATCCATGGATTCTCTGGTATTCTCGTTGACAATATGCTTCCCTGCGCCATTGAGGAAGCTGCCATGAATCTCACGTTACAATAGTGGAAATAGAAGCTATAAATCTGATCTTTCTATCAAATACCTTCCTCCCTCCTCCCCCCCAGCACAAATCTTAAAAATTGTATGGGGCCTTACAGAAAAGGGGAACTTGGAATTTGTTTGATTTTGACTTAAATTTCAGCATCTGATAAAAGCAGGATATTTCTGTTTGGTTTTTAATAGGTACATTTTTTTTCTTTTTTCAGAACTGCATCTGTTTTCCTTGAGAGGGAGCTTTCTAGCTTCAATGATGAGCAGCTGGCATTTTCACTGGTTTCAGGTATAACTCAGTCGATTCCTACCTCCCATGACAGTAGAGAGATCTTTAATTAAAACCCTTGAATGTGTCTGAATGTGTTTTTTTGTAACCAGTACTGTCTCTACCTCCCTCCTTTTGGTGAATAAAATGACAGGCTTCTCTACCCCAAATATGAATGTGTATCTTACTTTGAATAGTTTTACATGTGGAATCTATGAGCAGTTAACTTTGAACTTAGGAAACAAATCAATTAATGCATCCCTGTACAATTGTATCAGAATCAAATGCCTGTAGCGCATAGCAAGATGGTAGAGTGGACAGAGTATTAGAGTATCCTGCCTCATTTATTGACTTAGCTGTGTGACTCTGGGTAAATCACTTAACCTCTGTCTGCCTTGGTTTCCTCATCTGTAAAATGTGGATAATAATAGCACTCACTTCAGAGGGTGGTTGTAAGGATCAAATGAGATAAGTAAAACGCTTTGTGAACTTCAAAGTGTTATGCAAATGTTGGCTGTTGTGTTTAGGTTCTTACATATGCACACCAACCCGCCCAACTATAGTGTGTGTCCCTCTCAATGCTGTGTTCATTTGGATTGCTGGATTCACTGGGGCTTTTAAAAGTCCCTCATTTGGCTTGATACCCCACTCCACCCAGCTGAGTGTAGAAATCCAGTTTGTATCAGTCAGGCTAGCAGAACAAAGAGTAAACTTTGACTCTAGACTAAAACAGTGAGTAAGGGAATAGGAGAACGATCTCAAGTCTCCTCCGCTTGTTCTGGTCGGCTAGCGAGCAGAGGCCCCATTCCTCCTGCAGTGAGCACATCAATTCCTGCTTTCTCAGAATGGAATACCCAGTACCAGAGAGAACAACCCATGCAACGGCAGCAGGCGATGGGATGCCACGAGAAAGGATTGGGGGGAGAGAGAGAGGCCCCGGGGGAAGGATCTAATCAAGTAGAGCTCATTCAGAAGAAGCAGTAAGATTTCTGAAACATGGAAGAGAGCTTAGCATCTGAGGCACCATGCTGGCACCTCCCTGCAGTGGTGTCTTCAGATGATGGAAGTGTGCTGTAACAATGTCTTCCTGGGACCCTAGGTGGTACAACCACCCTAAAAGGGCCCTGACTTGTGAGAACTTACTGCCTCTCACTGGCTGTGAGACTCTGGGCAAGTGGGCATTTAGTGACCTGAGTTTTCACCTTCTGTAAAATAAAAGGATTGGACTAGGGCAGGTTCCCCACCCACCCCTGGACCAGGAGATCTCTAAGGCTCCTTTGCTTCTGAGGCAGCCTGGTGGCATAGGACATAGAGCACCAGGCCTGGAGTCAGGAAGATCCAAATTTCAGTCTGGCCTTAGATACTTTCTAGCTGTGTGATCCTGGGCAAGCCACTTAACCTCTGTTTACCTTAGTTTCTTCACCTGTAAAGTGGAGATGGTAATAATAGCACCTACCTCCTAGGGTTATTGTGAGGATCAAATGAAATAATACTTGTAAAGTGTGTTGTACACCTTAAAGTACTATGCAAATATTATTATTCTAAGATTCTTTGACTCTGAGGCTGATTTCCTACCTAAGCCCCTGTTGCCAAGAAGGCTTCAATGTGTCATGCTGTCCGATCCACAGAGGTCAATACAGAAACAAACAGAATTTTTGCATGCAGCTATTTTCTTTGAACAGCTGCAAATAATGGATTTCAACTGGGGAGCTTGGCATTACCTTGGACACAGTCCAAGAGGCCCAGGTGCATTCTCCCTCCTTAATAAAGAAAAAAAGGAAGGTCGGTTCGAAGTTCCACAAACAGCTTCATTCAGAACCAACCTCCCCAGGCTTCAGTGTCCTCATCAGTAAAATAAGGGGAGTCAAACTACACCGTCTCAAAGTTCCTTCCTTCTGGAGGTCTGTGATGCTACGGTCAAGTCCTTCCCTCTGGCACTTGAGAGCTGTGTGACTGGGGGCAAACTGCTTAAAATGAGGAAGGATCAGATTAGATGACCGTCCAGATCCTTTCCAACTCTGTGATCTAGACTAATATTTAAAGTTCTGTTCAAATGTAAACTGATGATCTTAGAACTTCCACTGGACTGGGATCCGTGGTCAGACGGTGCCCACCAGCAGGGAGTGGGAGGAGAGGAGCCAGACAGGAACTGCTCACCCTCCCCTCTTACAATTTCTGCTCAGGCTCTGGAGGGCTGCCTCATCCTACCAAGTCCCTTTCCCAGTTTCTTCAAGATGGTTCTGAGTGAATTCTAAAATGCATGATTATGTTTATTTTCTAAAAATAGTCAACATGAGACTCCTGTAGGAGCTATACTCTTCCACAGTCAGGAAAAGGACTGGGGTGGGGAAGGGGGAGAGGGGACCAGAAGTAGAGGATGAGTGTGATTGCATTCCTACCTGCAGTATTTTAGTGGTGTTCCAGAGAATTCACTTCCATCTGATGTAGGCTCAGATCGGTTTTCAAAGTCAGAAATGAGAAACACAGATAGGCTGGCATTAACATATCCAACCATGCATCTATGAGAAAAACAAAAATCTCTCAATTAGGACATTAAAAAATAAACTACTAACATGATGTAGAACTCTTCATGGGGGGGGGGGGTCAGTAGGTGAGATAGGGGATAACAACAAGCATTCAAAATGTGCCAGGCACTGTGTGCTAAGCACTTTAAACCATCCTAGGACATTGCCTGAGGCACTGAAAGGTAAAATAACGATAGCATTTATATGTGCTTTTTAGGTGTGCAGAGTGCTTCACATGTCATCTGATTTGAGCCTAGCAACATCATCCTTATGAGGTAAATGCTGTTGTTATCTCCTATCCCTCAAATGAGGAAATTGAGGCCAAGAGAAGTTAAGGGACTTGCCCAGGGTCATGCAGTCAATAAATAATGATGACAACATCTCTAACAATGATGATGTATTTAAGTAACACTTACTATGGGCCAGGTACTGCGATAAGCACCTTGCAATTATTTCTCATTGGATCTTCACAATGATATTGGGAGAGAGAGATATGCTATTATTATTATGTCCATTTTACAGATGAAGAAACTGAGGCAAACAGGGTAAGGGACTTGCCTAGAGTTCATATAACTAGTATGCGAAGGAGGTGGGATTTGAATTCAAGACTTACTGACTCCCAAGTCCGGAACTCTATTTACTTTACCGCCTAGCCGCTTCCAAAATAACTTGCCTCAAGTTACACAGCTAGAGAATGCCAGAGACAAGATTTGATCATCCTAATTCCAAGTCCAGGCACCTGCAATCAAGTCAGGATTCACTTCTCATTTAATAATTGTCACCTTCCCTCAGCTTACTCTTTGATATTATGTTCGTTGTATTTCCTTCAGCTTGTAATTAACTCAGTTTGTTTATTTTCTAAATTCAGCTTTTCTTGTATTGCTTCACAAATCCAGGTTATGTTCTCAGAGCAAAATCAGAGCTTTTAATGGTTGATTTTTACATTTCAATCTTGAACTGTAATTTCCCTCCCTCCCCCCACCCAGGTCTATGAATTATTGGTGTCAGGAGCTCCTCATGAGGAAGCTTCCTTCATCATTGCAGGCCGATGCCTTCTCTGAAATTTGTCGTCCTAGAGCAAGGGTTCCTTCCCATTTTTGTGTGTCCTGGACTCCTCAGGAAGTCTGGCAACATCTACGCACTCCTTCTTATGATAATGTTTTTCAATGCATAAAATAAAATAGGATTACTAAGGAAACCGATTACATGGAAAAAGAAATCAACAGAATGACATTGGGGTTTGTGATTTTATAGTGTATGACTTTGAGTTGGGGGCAGGGGTAGAATCAACGAATGAATGAATGAGAAGGCATTTATGAAGCACTTTGTATAACAGTAATGACAACAACAGGGACACTTAAATAGCCCTTTAAGGGTTGCAGAGCACTTCACGGATGTCAACGCATTTGATTCTCATACCAACCCCACAAGGTGGGTACTATTATATCCCCATTTTACAGATAAGAAAACAAGCCAAGAGATCAAGTGATGATTTGCCCATGGGCACACAACTAGTAAGTGTCTGAGGCGGCATTTGAACTCAGGTTCTCTCTTCAAGTCTCGAGTTCCATTTTCTCTGCCACCAACTGCCTGAGGTTCCATTTCCGTAAGTGTGCCAGTGTGTTCCCTTCACCATGAGGACTAGTGCCTACGAGGTCGCCTTATAGCTCTCTGCTTGACATGTTTTGTAAGTTCTCATATAGGCATATCTCTCTATGACAAATAAGCGCCTTGAAGGCAGGGACTGTTTACCTTCTTTTTCCATCCCCAGTGCTTAGCGTGTAGTAGGTGGACGAGGGGAGGCACAGAAACGTGGTTGTTGGGCCCCTAAGTCCTTGAAACCAGAGTGGCCCAAGCACAAATGTGCGCTGTCCATTCAACAGAGCATCCCTAGGAACAAGGTCTTTTCTGAGGTCATGGGGGAAGCCTGTGGCAGCCGAGCTGCCTCTGGCTGGTGGAAGATCCAGGGTGATTGAGGACTGCTCCTCCCCCTCATCTGTTCAGTGTCAGTGAACAGACGACGTAGTATTATCATTTGTGCTGATTATCCGTTGTCACAGAGATAATGCTGTTCTTTCTTCGCCATATATGAAACCCAGGGAATGCCTTGCCAGTCACCTAGAGAGCAAGTGGAAAGTGGGTCCAGAGGGTGGCATAAATGCTGGCCCAATCAAATGGAATGTCAATGACCTCCTGCACGATCATCTCATAAACCACATGGCTTCAGAGATGATTAAAGTGCCTGCCCATCTACAGGAGCTTTCTCTGCTCACTCACTCAACTGAGGGGTAATGGGACGTCTGCTGTGGGCCCACTGAATATGCTGCCCTCCCCTTCCTTGCAAACGAGTTGGAGTCATGTTCATACCACCAAGTCATTACTGGTAAATGCTGCTTATTATGCATCCTCTTCCTATGCCAAACCTTACAAGGCCAGGCTGATATGATAGTCGGCACCTCCTTTTGGATGCAAAGCCAAAAAAAAAAAAAGAAGAGGTGCTTTTAGATATATCACACCATAACCAGAAAACATCAGAGCATCAGCATGGCACCATACAAAGAATGCTAGCTGGACTCGGGTTCAAATCCTGGCCTTGGCATTTTCTATTTGTGTGACCTTGAGTAAGACACTCAACCCTCTGAGCCTAAGTCTCCTCATCTGTAAAATAAGGGGGTCCATCTAGAGGGCTTGTGAGATTCCTTCCATCTTGAAATCTATGATCCTGTGAGTGTGCTATATTCTGGCCAAAGTGGCCTCCTTCTGAATGTCTCCTACCTCTGTGCTTTTGGCCCAGGCTGTACCCTGTGCCAGTGATGCATTCTCTCTTCACCTCATCATTCCTAAATAAGGCCTTTTGCTGATCCCCACAGCTATGAATGTTCCCCAAAATTACTTTGTATTTACCTTGTGTGTATTTTTATATTTATATTTTTATGTATATATGTTGTTTCTACCATAGAATGGAATCTCCTTGAGGCCAGGGACTGTTTTGATTTTGTATTTGTGCCTGATCCACAACAGATGCTTAATAAAAGCTTTTTGATTGATTATAAATGGGAACTAGCATTATTATTTATATCATTAGGACTTCAGTTCTGCCCCAGTGTTTTCCCACACACTGTGTTTCCATTCTTCTTTAGCTTCCTTGTTTAAAAAAAAAAAACAAAAAACTGAAAGGTTTTACCACATGGGAGGGGCAACTAGATAGTGCAGTGGATAGAATGCTGGGTTTGGGGTCAGGAAGATTCATCTTTCTGGGTTCAAATCCAGCCTCAGACACTTATTGGCTGTGTGATTCTGAGCAAGTCACTTAACCCTGTTTGCCTCAGTTTCCTTATCTGTGAATTGAGCTGGAGAAGGAAATGGCAATCCATTCCAGTATCTTTGCTAAGAAAACCCCATATGGGGTCACAGAGAATCAGACACAACTGAAACAACTCAACGACAACTACCACATGGGAAATCAGGTAAAGCAGGGAAGTCTCCATGGGGCAAACTCTGACAACACTACTAGGCGAGCCACACGACCTTACCTGCTCTCTGTGGTTTAAGGAAAACGGGACTTGCATGCAAAGAGTTGTCTGCACTCAACAATGAGTCTAGAGCAGGAGTCTAGGGCGTTAGGCATGGTCTCTGTAACAGCTGATAATCCATCATAGGATCGACTCTCAAAGGAGTCTCCTTGATAAGGCTTGATTCAAGTCAACACAGCTGAGCAAGTATTTATTAAAAGTTTATTATGTGTAAGGCATTTTATGCCTCAGAGGTGAAGCCAAACCTCAAAACATCTGAGTAAAAGTCTGTTGTCTAATTCTGGTCAATTCCCTATTCTAACTCAATGAATGATCAGAAGGTTATTGGATGCCGGAGCGATGGTATCATTCTTGGTTGTCAGGGCCCTGACCCAGGGCCTTCCATTAATTTAAATCAACTCAACTCAAACATTTATTGTTTCCGTGTGTAGGGAACTGCCAGACCTTGTCAGTATGAAGACGCAGATGTGACACAAGCCCTATTCTCAAAAGACAAATACACAAATAGATAGAAGGAGAATGTGATAAGGACAAGAGAGAGAAAGAGAGATTTGTGTATGGATGTGTTCTAAGTGAGGAAAAATTAACTATCTCAGGAAATCCTTATATAGAAGCAGCATGATATGGTAGAAAGAAGAGCAGGGCACAAGAGAAAGTTTGGTTTCAGTTCAATTCAATTCAACTCCAAAAGTTATTAAGCACCTTTTGTATAGACAAGGCAAGAGAGGCAGCATGAGAACCTGGAGAGGGAGCTGGACAGAGAGATGGGAAAGGATGATACCCCAGGGCTCTGAGTGGGAGAGACTGGCCACTTTCTACCAAGGGAATCCCAAGGGGCCCAGGAGATGAGACTGGTTAAGTTGAAAGCCCATTGTGCCAGTTTCACAGTTGTCTCCAGCTAGCCTAGAAATGCCAGTGCTTCTGCCTGCACATTCATACCATTCATGTGATTTCCAGGGAATGGGGCCATCAGAGTGACTCAGCCCATCTAGTTCTCCTGCAGTTGTATTGGACTGGGTCAGAGCCAACAGCCCTGAATGACATTCAGTTTTTAGCTGTATGATAAGCGGGGTTAATTCACAGAAAGTGTTTGTTGTGTGGCATATTGAATTGAATTGTGACTCATTTCCTGTATTCAGGAGAAACTTGTCTTGATAACAGAATTACAGATGGAAGACGTCACCCAGTTCAGTTCTTTCATTTTACAGATGAAGTAATTCTCATCCAGGGAAGTGAGGTGATGTCTTTGAGGTCATACAGGTGGTAAGTTTCAGAGGCAGAATTTGAACCTGATTCCTCTGACTCCACAGCCTGTATTCTTTCAATTACAATCCACTTTAAGATCTCCTTTTAGGCTCATAACTCCATCCTTGCATCCTTGACTATTGTCCCTCTCCCCGTTTTATACCTGCCACAAATATTTAAGAAAT